TGCGCATAGGTTTATGTTTTGCTATTGAATTCGTGATTTGTGCATAACGAGATCTTCATTGATCCCAACACACCGCGCGCGGGTGCTGCATGCTGGTATGCCACCCTCGAGGGCTCTGGGTTATTGGTGTGTCACATTTCTACATGCAGCGTGCAAAGTATCGCGTAGTCGTGTGTCGAAAGGTACGATATAGAACTGGGAAATAGTTTTCCCTAAGAGTGAGCAATGACTTGCAAGTAGGTCCTACAAGTGACATATCATCGGGTAGAGATCTCTGCCTAACCATGCCTACCCTGGTTAGCCTGGCGTGAGTACAGTAGACCTTATCTAATCGAGCAAGCTGATCAACCTGATAAGGTAAACAAAGCGTGCAACAGACCGTGTCTAATTGGGCAAGCCCGATCAGCCTAACAAGGTAAACACGGTCGTCTAATCGGGTAAGCCGATCAACCTGACGAAGCATACAACATATCTTGTCTAATTGGGCAGAACTCGATCAGCCTATCAAGGTAAATGTGTTTGTTTAATCGGGTAAGCCGATTAGCCTAACGAAGCATACAACAGATCTTGTCTAATCTAGCCAAACCCGATCAGCAGGACAAGGTAAACGTGCTCGTCTAATCGGGTAAGCTGAACAACCTGGCCAAGCACATAGTGGATCTTGTCTAATAAGGCAGAACCTGATCAGTCTGACAAGGTAAAGCGTGTTCATCTAATCGGGTAGGCCCAATCAGAAGCATACAACATACCTTATCTAATCGGGCAAGCCCGATTAGTCAGACAAGGTAGACGTGCTCGTCTAATCGGGTAAGCCCGATAAGTCTAACGAAACATACAACAGACCCTATCTAATCGGGCAAGCCCAATCAGCCTGATACGGTTAACACCTTCGTCTAATCGTGCAACACCCAATCAGCCTGACAAGGTAGATTGCCATAGTAAAGAATTACAGCTCAGTTCTCCCTGAGATCTGAAGCGTCGCCATAGCCATGGCGATGCTGCTAAGAGGGAAAGATGGGCTTCCTCGAAGTGTCTTAGTCATAATTTCTAAAGTTCTGCCTTGGACTTTTTGCAGAGGCACATAACGAATTTTGGCGAACTGCCATGACGAACTAGTACCAGCGAGACCGACCAATGCCGAGACAGCCCTATCACAATACCAGATAGAGATCCTCAGTTCTGGAACTTGGGCTAACGATGTATAACAGTCTTAAGGCCGGGTAAATTATGGAGGCTTGAAATAAGAGTCAGTAGTCCGAATTTGCCTGGGAGCTTGAAGTCGGAATTGTCGTGGCATTGCCAAGATCACTAGTAGGAGGAAGAGCGAATTTAAAGCTAAGAATCCTAGTTTTGAGTTTTGACTTGTACTTTAGTTTAATATTTCCGGGGACGGAAATGTTTCAAGGAGGATAGATTGTAACGCCCAGAATATTTTTATTATTTATGGATCTCGATTTTATTTCCATAAATAGTCAGTTTCCTAATTTGATGCAATTAATTATTATTATTTGCATTAAATCGAGTAATTAGTTTAAAGTCTAAGGCATAGAAAATTTATTCGATTTTTAATTACTAAAATTGGATTTATTTAGCCCAAGTATTGGTTCAATTTTTAAAATCGAGCCTTGAATAAATCAGAAATTTTGTCTAAGCGGACCGAAGCCCGAATATTTAATTTATTCGAGCCTAATAATTTACGAGCGTGTCCAATTATTTTAGCCGACCCATTTTTGTTAATCGAGCCTATGTTCGATTTTATTTCGGCCCATTTCATTTTAGTAAATCGAGTCCATGTTCGATTTAATTTTAGTTCATTTTAAAAATTGAGCCTATGTCGATTTTTAAATATGAGCCCAAGTCGGCCGACTAAACTAATTTAGGCTAAGTCTCGTTATATTTTTAATTTACCCAAACAATTTATCTTAAGCCAAGTCACGTGTTCGGTTGTTATGTAGCTCGATTACATAGCCAATTTTAGAGCCCGGGTGTTAGTAATTTTAAGCCCGACCTTAAAATGCTAAAAGCCCAATATTGAGGCTCAATTTCCATCAAAAACCCTAATAATCACCTACTACCATATATGTATAACATTCATCTTCATCCTCTAGCCACAAAGTTCATCATCCTCCACACCACCTTTAAGAATCCGGCCAATTCCGACCATCTTCTCCGGTGAGCTCACCACCGCCGTTTAGTCGAGCCGCCGTTCAGCCCTTCACCCCGGTTCACGCCTAAGCTCACAGCCGAGTTCGCGAAGCTCCTCCACGCAAGCTCAGTCTTGGAAAAAATCGAGCCTTGATCGAGCCTTGAATAAAATTGGATTTATTTAGCCCAAGTATTGGTTCAATTTTTAAAATCGAGCCTTGAATAAATCGGAAATTTTATCTAAGCGGACTGAAGCCCGAATATTTAATCTATTCGAGCCTAATCATTTACGAGCGTGTCCAATTATTTTAGCCGACCCATTTTTGTTAATCGAGCCTATGTTCGATTTTATTTCCGCCATTTCATTTTATTAAATCGAGTCCATGTTCGATTTAATTTTAGTTCATTTTAAAAATTGAGCCTATGTCGATTTTTAAATACGAGCCCAATTATTTTAGTAAAGTCGACCGACTAAACTAATTTAGGCTAAGTCTCGTTATATTTCTAATTTACCCAAACGATTTATTTTAAGTCAAGTCACGTGTTCGGTTGTTATGTAGCTCGATTACATAGCCAATTCTAGAGCCCGGGTGTTTTTAATTTTAAGCCCGACCTTAAAATGCTAAAAGCCCAATATTGAGGCCCAATTTCCATCAAAAACCCTAACAATCACCTACTACCATATATGTATAACATTCATCGTCATCCTCTAGCCACAAAGTTCATCATCCTCCACACCACCTTTAAGAATCCGGCCAATTCCGACCATCTTCTCCGGCGAGCTCACCACCGCCGTTCAGCCGAGCCGCCGTTCAGCCCTTCACCCCGGTTCACGCCTAAGCTCATAGCCGAGTTCGCGAAGCTCCTCCATGCATGCTCAGTCTGTGCGCCGGCAGCTCCGACTTCCGACGAGTTCCATCCATCTGAGCCGCCTCACCGTCGCGAGCTCAGCCTCGCACCTGCACCACTTCCGACGAACCAACCCTGCTCATCCCGCCATTCGCGAGCTCAGCTACCGCCGTTCACAGCTCCGGAGAGCCCAAAGCCGCCGCCGTCCAGCTCGTCCCAGCTGAGTCCGACCCTGTCCAAGTCACCTTCTCGCTGTTTCAGCCCGTTCGGTGTCGGTTTCAGCCCTCCTTCACGACGACGAGCCGTCCGTACGCCGGCGACCTTACGCATCCATCTCACGTCGTGGAAGACCGCTGCACCGACGACCTCACAGTTCCCGCTGCCACCTCCGTTCGACCTGCTCGGGCAAACCAGCCCTTCACCAGTCGACCGTGACCTCAGGCCCGATCCGCGAGCTTCGGTCTTGTTCAGTGCGAGACGGGTTGCACCTGCTTCAGGTTCCGTTGAGCCAGTACATACCCGGGTGCAGCAGTTCAAATCCGGGCTTAACCACCACAACCCGACCCGATCCGGTTAAGCCAATCCATTTCCACTTAGCTGAGTCATTTTCTGATTTTATTTTTGAGCCATTATGAGGTATATTAGCTGAATCTTAAACTCCATTCCCTTAGGCAACAATTTTTGTTAATTACAAAAATGAGTTTAGGAAGTTTTGAGCAAGATATAAATTTATATGGTTTTATTGAGTTAAATGGCAAGAAATTCGTATTGAATAGTAGGATGACCCGAAAATTATGAAACTAACTCGATAAATCCTGTTTTTATGTCTTAAGGCTTAGGTTAAAATTTGATGAATTTTGGAGTTCGTTTGATAGGCGAACGGATTTTGTGAATTTGGACCGTTAAATGCCCGTTTTTAGTTGACAGCGTTAGGAGCTGATTTTGGATGTGATATTTTGACCAAAAACCATAAATATATTGAAGTTGATGTGGTTAAATTTTCGTGATTTTTGGAGACCATTTGATATAGATTAAAAATCGAGACGTTAGTCACATTTTGCGAGAATTTTAGAAAATTAGTTCGGTTGCGATTTAGCTGCAATGGTTGATTATAAATTCATTATAAATCACATAGAGATTAGTGTTTAATTATCGTCTTAAATTGACTTATAATTTTCGAGAATCGAAAACTCTAATTTTATCCAGTTCCGATAATCGGGTAATTTTTAGATCCGAGTTTAATCGACGAACCCTAGTTCCGTTTAAATAATTTTAGACGTTGTAATATTTATAAATGAGTCCTTGAGTGTCGGGATGTGGTTGGTAGGTGGCAAGGGCCGAACCGGCGCAGAATTGCCCCGAAATCGACCTGAACTACGGGTCTTGGAATCGGATCCTTAATAAAATCGGGCCTAATTTGGGTCTTAGTTTTTTTTTTACTCTCGGGTTTCGGGCCGATTCTGGGTCGAGAGACGGGTCGTAGTTGTTTTATATTTTTTATTATAAAAATAAAAACACCATCGTCGGGTCGGGCCGATTCATTTAAATCGGCCCTTACATATAGTTGGGCCGGTTCTAGGCCTAACATTTGAGGCCTGCCGACCCGGCGGGCAACCAGCCCTGCCTTTGGACATGTCTAGCCCCAGGCCTTTTAACCCCCGAAAGGGTCGAGTCAAGCTGAAATCCTTCACCGCAAAGTGCACACACACATTACCGCCTCCAACCAATAAACCTACGCAGCACCTCGGATTCTTCGTGTGAAATACTCTAGCCTTAGTAAGCCCAAGGTTTACCGCAGCCATCGTTAATGTTCCCCATGCTGGTCTTCAAAATGCGGCCAGTTTCCTCCAAGAAACTCTCCAGAAGACTCCAATTCGTCCGATTGCAGTCTGTCCCATTGCTTGGCCATTTAACCCCTTATTTTTCCGATTTAGGTTCCGCTGACCTGAGCCCCAAATACGAGATGCAATTATACTGCAAAAGCTTCAAGCAATTTCACCAATGAAATGAGAAGTTGTTCTGAGCTAAGCACCTTAGAGATCGTCGAGATTCTAAAAAGCATGCAGGGCGAGCCAAACTCCGCCTCCACGTTCTACTATCAGGTTGGAAAAAAGGATTAGCATGATGTGCGTACTTACTTGGCCATCAATAAAATACTCTGTTTTTGGGGCTCAAACAGAAAGTTTGATTCTTTGTTAAAAGAGGTTATTAGCTCGGGAAATGAGTGCCAGTGTTTTGAGGTGTCAGAGTTGTTGGGGGTGATTGCGAAAAAGCTGAGGGCCAGAGGGCCTCGCATTCTGCTCTGGCCATTAATTCTCTTATCAAGAGGTATGTTACTTTAAGATGTCTGATGAGGCTGTAGACGCCCTTTCAAGACCAAGCGGCTCGGTGTTAGGCCTTGTTTGTTGTCTTGTTATTTCTTGATTAACAGGTTGGTTGGGGGTGGGAGGGTCGATACAGTTGTTGCTATGTATAAGCAATTGAAGACAATCGGGCTTAACCCGAATGTGTATACTTATGCTATCATGATTATCACATACTATTGGAACAATTGTTTTGAAGAAGCTGGAAATGTGTTGAGTGAGATGGAAGCAGCTGAGCCTGATTCTTTTATGTACTTTGCTTATCTTGAAGGGCTCTGCATGAACGGATTGATCGATTCGGGCAACAAGGTTTTACAGTCTTGCAAAGCTGGAAATGTCCTTATTGATGCTTATGCTTACACTACTGTGATTCAGGACTTTTTTAAGGAAAAGAAGCTGCGGGAGGCTGAGAATGTTTTGCTCGACATGGAAGAATACGAGATGATTCCCAGTGAGGCTGACTACCGTGCCTTAGTCCCGGGGTATTGTGATTCTGGGGATACAACTAAGGCTTTAGCTATTGTTGTAAGTATTTTTACTGGAGTAGAATCGAAAGATTCGTTCCCTGAGTCGTATCGCGAGGAAGGTTAGCCGGATTTAATTGTACGATTATTCAATCACAAAAAAGAGAAAACAAATTCCTAAACACTATAATTCAAAAGTTTGGGGTTTTTTTATCAACTAATGATTCTGAAGCTAAATAAAACAAATTCACTTAATGAATAAAGAGGTATGGAATCGAGGAGAATCGCTTACGGTTCTAACACAATTACCGGACAACCAGTTGCTCGGTTAAACGACTTGAATCATTTTTCGTCCAGAGGTTCACTCTCAATAACTCTTCGTAACAAGAGAGTGAACGTAAACGATCAACTATCAATTCCAATAACACATAAAATACACAATAATGAACAATTCTATTCTAAACAAGCCTGAATCGACCGACGTCTCCCCTCTCGGTTCTAAACATCGATTAACAAGGTTAGAATGATGATCAATCAACTAACTCCATAATTCACACAACTCGTATTGATTGAACAATTAAAGTCATGCAATCATAAATGAACTGAAACAATCATCCACTATCCATAGCGAATGAATTTAGCTACTCATTACGAATTCAACATCACAATTCACATCAACCCAAGTCATCATCATCATAAACAAATTGAGAAAAAGAACTTACGATTACTGCAAAAATCCCATTGTCAAATCCAAGTGCAATCCAAATCCATAGCAAGAGAAGGAGTTTTTCAATCTCCAAATCAAATCCAAAGTGAAAACTAAAGAGAGGAATGTGTTTGCTAGAGAGAATAAAAAAACATAAAAACAAAGACGGTGAATGAAATATAATGCCCTAGGATAAAAAACTAATTAAAAATCTCAAAAAATGATTTTCGCTTCTCTGAGTCGCGACTTAAGTTAGGTAATATTGAAGGATTATGGTGGCAAATGTTGTCTTCAAACTATCCCACATAGGCTCTCGACAATGAACATAATGTTCTGCAAGCGGCTAGTGCTGGAACACACATAATTTACAATGTATATAAATAAAATTTGAAAAGAACTCATACATTCTTTTTACATTAAGCACCTATTTCAATATAAATAAGCGTCTTACATGGTTCGTCGTTTCCCTTTAGTAGTCATCAAGATAGACCTTGTTCAATGTTACGTCGCAAACAATATCGTCTTGGTCCAACAAAAACCTAAACGTACGGTACCTGTATTTCCATACCTTTAACGTGACATAATATTCCATGAAAGTGAGGTCGGGAGAAATTTCTGTGCGGAACACATTGTACAGTCGGTTGAATGCTTGTCCGATCTATGACTCGTGTGACATGGTGGCCTCCGATCGAATAAAACGTTGTTGTATCATACAGAATCGCTATTTGTTACATGCATTCCATTTGTTTTAAAAACTTTCGCGTATAAACTCAAAGTGTTCAGCCTTTGTGTTTATTTGTGGCAAATTCATGATTTTGTTGTATTGCTTGAATGCAGTGATTGAAGATGACAAAAACCCACTTACCATGAGTGTATTTATAAGTGTAGACAACATGTGTCATTTGCAAGAATATTATTGCATGGCTAGACAAATCCTATATGTGGGCTAATATTTTTTTGGGCCATCCATTTGGTTTGTAAAATAATTTTATAAACAATGTGCCTCATTTTGTAATCTAATATATTTACGTTTTTTTTATATTCTTATACGTAGAAGGACAATAATTTCTTTTATATTAATATGATTTGTACACATAGCCTACTCAGTTTGTGTTATTTTGTTTGTAGTACACAGTTGTAATAATGAAGATGGACAATAATAACATAATAGGAGAGTATTCATGACTCTCATCCATGAGTACTACATGTCCTCAAACACCATCACATAATTTTGTTACACGACAAAATACGAGTTCACCCTCAACACAGATTAACCTAGAAACACAAACTACACCAACGTAACCTCGATACAAACACAAATATAAGGAATTAATGTGAAGCAACATATAAACCCTTCAACCATTTCTGTAATCCACAAATTCCTGAGCGTCTCAATTTTGCATCAATACTTTTCCATGTCCTTCAACTATTTGTAATTTATATCTACTCTCCTCAAATTCCAAAATTACTCTAGTTAAGACGGTCGGCTCGGTTAAAACGTAAGATCGCCAAAAATTAATCGGAATAGGCTGCAATAGCGGGTAGTTTTTAATTATGTATGCGCTTAAAAATAAATTAAAAAAAACATAATTTAGACGGAGAGTGATACAAAATTACCAAGCGCACACGTTCAACATGGGTTTTTTTAATCTGCAGCTTATAACAGTGTCCAAGATCCCGTTCAACTTGATTGTCCCTGAGGATTGTCACTACGAAATCCGTTAAGGATGTGCGGTCGAACCACAAACAATTATCAGTGGCGAGACTTTGTGCGTTCTGAGGACATTATGACCGACAATTGTCTGTGGTTCGACCGCACATCTTTAACGGATTTCGTAGTGACAGTCCTCACGGACAATCAAGTTGAACGGAAACTTCGACACCGTTATATGTTGTAGATTAAAAAATACCATGTGGAACGTGCACGCTTGGTAATTTTGTATCACTCTCCATTTAAGTTATGTTATTTTTAATTTATTTTTAAGCGCATACATAATTAAAAACTACCCGCTATTGCAACCTATTCGGATTAATTTTTGGTGGTCATACGTTTTAGCCGAGCCGACCGACTTAACTATAGTAAATTTGGACTTTGAGGATAGTAGATGTGAGTTACAAATAGTTGAAAGAGATGGAAAAGTATTGATGCAAAATTGGGATGTTCAAGAATTTGTGGATGATACTGAAATGGTTGAAGGGTCTACATGGTGCTTCACATTAATTCCTTATATTTGTGTTAGTTTTGAGGTTACGTTGGTGTAATTTCTGTTTTTAGGTTAATTTGTGTTGAAGGTGAACTCGTATTTTGTCGTGTAACAAAATTATGTGATGGTGTTTGAGGACATGTAGTACTCATGGATGAGAGTCATGAATATTCTCTTATTATGTTATAATGCATGTTATTATTTTTCATTTTCATCATTACAATTGTGTACTACAACCAAAATAACACAAACTGAGTAGGCTATGTTTATAAATCATTAATATAAAAGAAATTGTTGCCCTTCTTTAGGTTCGGTACAAAATGAGACACATTGTTTGTAACACTATTTTACAAACCAAATGGATGACCTCAAAAAATATTGGCCCACGTATAGGATCTGTCTAGTCGTGCAATATTCTTGCAATTGACACAAGTTGTTCTCCACTTATAAATACACTCATGGTAAGTGGGATTTTGCCATCTTCAATTACTGCATTCAAGCAATATAACAAAATCATGAAGTTGCCACAAATAAACACAAAGGCTGAATACTTTGAATTTATACGCAAAGGTTTTTCAAACAAATGGAATGCGCGCAACAAAGAGTGTTTTTGTATGATACTACAACGTTTTATTCGATCAGAGGCCATATCACACGAGTCACAGATCGAGCAAGCATTCAACCGGCTGTACAATGTGTGCCTCATAGAAATTTCTCCCGACCTCACTTTCATGGAATGCTATGTATTCAAGGTATTGAAGGACAGATACCATACGTTTAGGTTTTTGCTGAACCAAGACGATGTTGTTTGTGACGTAACATTGAACAAACAAGGTCTATCTTGATGACTACCTAAGGGAAACGGTGAACCATGTAAGATGCTTATTTTTATTCAAATACGTGCTTCATGTAAAAAGAATGCATGAATTCTTCTCAAATTTTATTTGTACATGTTGTAAATTATGTGTGTTCCAACACTGGCCGCTTGCAGAACATTATGTTCATTGTCGAAAGCCTATGTGGGATACTTTGAAGACAACATTTGCCACCATAATCCTTCAATATTACCCGACTTAAGTCGCGACTCAGAGACGCGAAAATCATTTTTCGGGATTCTTAATCAGTTTTTGGACCTATGGCATTCTATTCCATTCACTCTCTTTTTTTTTATGTTTTTTTCTCTCTAGCAAACACATTCCTCTCTTTATTTTTTGTAACGCCCCGTTCGTTTATGAATAAATTGAATTTTATTATTATTATTATTATTATTATTTTTATTATTATTGCCATTTATATTAATTGTTATTTGATTAATTGCCTAAATGAACTTATGTGCCTAATTGTGTATATTAAATAAATATTAATTGTGGAGATTTTATTATAATTATTAAATGCTATTTTAAATATTATTTATTTTAATTTAATTTAATTGTCAAACCGGACTTCGGGTTAAGCCGAGCCACTCCCGTGGCCACGCCAAGACCTAGCCGCCACCCCCTCCCTCTCTTCTTCTTGTTTGTTTGGTAAGTGGATCAATTTGGAGCCTTTCCTTTTTCCCTGCTTGTGATGTTTATGGTATGTGCTTAATCTTGGAGACTTACCATATCTTAGGGAGCCTATATGAGGAAGAGATTGACCCCCCTTTTCGTCCTAATATCTTTTTCCCCAAGCAGCCGCCCCCTCTCATCTCTCATCCCTCTCATCTCTCTCGCCCTCTCTCCTTCTTTTATATTTTTTTT